GAAGGAAGGAAGGAAGAAAGAAAGAAAGAAAGAAAGAAAGAAAGAAAGAAAGAAAGAAAGAAAGAAAGAAAGAAAGAAAGAAAGAAAGAAGGAAAGAAGGAAAGAAGGAAAGAAGGAAAGAAGGAAAGAAGGAAAGAAGGAAAGAAAGAAAGAAAACATTTTATAACATGTTATAAGTGTTCAGTGTCTTCTAGGCTTCTGCTGGACTTTTATCCTCTCAGAAGCCTAAAAGCGGAAGATGAACTTTGTGGGCCCTGAGCTTCCCATGGTTATTGAGGGGAGTCCCTTGGCAGAGGCAGTTTAATGCATCTGCCATTTGAACTGCGGTCCTTATTCTGCTAAGATCCTGCCAAGCACCCAACATGGCTTGTCGTCCACCAGGCCAGGCTTTGTGAGCTCTGTCAGCAGAGCTGCCTCACAGGAACCCCTGCTGAAGTGTGTCATCTGTGCCCATCAGCCAGGTGATCTAGGGGACAGCAAGACTGATGCCCTGTGACTGCCTGTCAGGCCACTGCTGGAGCATTCTCACAGGGAGAGCATGCGGCGAGTGCCTCCGAGATGTTTGCCCACATCCTTTCTGATCTCACCAGAATCCTACAGACCACTCTAAGGAATCTGGACCAGTTTCTAAACCACTGATGATGCTTTGCAAATGCTTCCTTGGCTTCTGTCTGAATTTGAACCAGTCTTCAGCACTTTATCTGTAAGGCTTGCGGGCCAGCCCAAGTTCACAGACTTCATAATATGTAAAAGAAAATAACTGGGTTTTATCTAATTAGAAATTTTGCAGTGCTGGGGAATGGAGATGTGTGTGGCTTTTCTGGTAGAGTGTTTACCTAGTTCTGGGTTGATACCCCCAGTATATCAACTAGGCATAGTGGTACATACCCGGGAAACAGAGGCAAGGGCATCCAAAGTTTGGGTTCATCATCAGCTGCATAGGGAGTTTAAGGTCAACTTAGATTCTGTAAAACCCTATTCCAAAATAAGAAAAGAAGGAAAGAGGGGAGGGATGGAGGGTGGGGAAGAGGGAGGGGAAGGTGGAGAGAGAGATTTCATATTACTGCTGAATGGTTCTTCTCAAGAGTGGGCTCAGTACTTAGTGTGAGCATCACCTGGGAGCTTGGAAAACACTGAGGTAGGACCCACAGGCTGCACCTCAGGATCCCACAAAGAATCCTGGAGGAGTTGAAATGGGTTCTGCTCTGCTCTCTCCAGCCTGCCCTGCTGTTGAGTGTAACCAAGCTCAGCCTTCCCACTTCCAACTCCCTCTTGAGTCAGGAATCCAAGGATATAATTAGGAGTACAAGTCAGGACCTAAACAAAAACAAGTCACTAAGTGAGTACAATAGCAGAATTGATAGGCATGGATCCCTTTTCTGGTAGAGAAATATAAGCAGTTTAAAGTTGAAATGGTACTATAACTTAAGTAGTGAACAGGAGTGTGGACTGCTTAGTGTCGTCCACGCAGCTCAGTGGATTTGTAGGATTGCTTTTAGTTTTAGTTTTGAGAGTTCCTGTAGGTTGTTTGTTTGTTTGTTTGTTTGTTTGTTTTCTTCACTCTTCACTCTTTGGAGGCCCACCACCCAGCTCCCAAATAAAGACATGGAGACTTATTCTTAAATATGAATGTCTATCCTTAGCTTGGCTTGTTTCTAGCCAGCTTTTCTTAACTTAAATTATCCTGTCTACCTTTTGCCTTGGGCTTTTACCTTGCTTTATTCTGTGCCTCTTTCTTTCCTTCTTACTCCATTGACTGCTGTGTTGCTGGGCGGCCCCTGACATCTTCCTCTCCTCTTTTTTTCTCTCCTCCTCTTCTTGTTCTCCTCCTATTTATTCTCTCTGCCTGCCAGCCCCACCTATTTCTCTCTCCTGCCTTGCTATTGGCTGTTCAGCTCTTTATTAGACCAATCAGGTATTTTAGACAGGCAAAGTAACACAGCTTCACAGAGTTAAACAAATGCAACACAAAAGAGGGCAGCACATCTTTGTATCATAAACAAATATTCCACAGCACAAAAGGGTGTAACATATCTTCAACTGGTATTTCACAACAAGTTCCCATCTCCAAAAAGAGGCTGCACCAGTTTCATGGAAGACTTAGACATGTGAAATTTACACAGTCAATGCTTATGGGAATTTCACCATAGCTGAGGAATTGAGAAGTGTGTGTTGGTCTTGAATTGTGATAGAGCTAGTTTCAAATCCCAGCCTCATCTACAAAACATCACTGTGCCAGCCACACACTGGCATGTTACACTTTGAATGCCTGTTTTTCACATGCATGAATGAAACTAGAAGAATGTCCCTAATTGTATTACTGTGAAGTTTAACTAAAATGACTGTGTAAATCTTGGCATGAAACCCAAGTTGTAACAGTTACTCAGACCCTTTCAAATGATTCAACATTGAATTCTTCTTGAACTTTCTCTCCTACACCAGAAAACAAATTTTTATTTTCACTATTCTGCCACACAGAGTTCTGTTATAAAGTTGATTTAGCCTATTATCATAAACTCTGATTAACATGGTGACCAAATGAACTCTAAATGGCCCTGAAATCGGAGCAAAAAGAGCTTGCTTGTCCATTGACTCTGGTATCTGTCCCCAAGAATAGAAACATGGGAGCCATGACATCCGAATTCTGGCTTCACCTCTGCCCTTGAGTTGCCGGTGACCATGAGCAAAGCTTGTATGTCTCTGGGTCGCCTTGGTCACTCCATCGGCTGCAGCCTTCCAGTTTTGCACCTCTTGAGACACTTGGAAGCAAATTTCCTTCAAAAAACAGAAAAGCACGCTGTTAGCTGTGCAGAGTCAGCAGGTAATTATGGAGCTACCCAGCGATAAAAAAGATGAGGCATGAACCGTGCTCAGTGGCACTTTCAAGTGTAACTACAGGACAAACTCCCAAATAAAGGGGTGCCTAACAGAGGCTTCTTCTGTGTGACTGTCACACCGGTCGGAGACCTGTGGTAAAAGAAATGTAAACTGCTGAGATTAATCAGTTTGGGGTTTTAAAAATGGTGGTTGGCAGGGCTGGAGACTCAGCAGTTAAGAATACTGGCTGCACTCCCAGAGGACCCAGGTGCAAGTCCCAGCGCCCACATGACAGCTTACAACCATCCATACCTCTACTTCTAGGGGATCCAATGACCTCTTCTGGTGCACAGACAACCATGCAAGAAAAACACTCATGCATTTTTTAAAAAGTCATTGAAGTCTAGACATAATGTAACATACCTGTAGTCAGTCCACAGGTTTGAGGCAGAGGCAGGAGGATGGCCTCAGGTTTGAGGCCAGTTAGTGAGTTCCAAGTCAGCCAGCGCTCCACAGGGAGACACTGTCTCAAAACGAACCAATAAAAAGATGGTTGTAAGCGTCCCCCAGGTAGAGTATGAAGGCTCAGAGAATGCAGACATAGATTGGTCACAGAGGCTGTTCTCTTGCTTTGCCAGCACCATGGCTGGCCCTTGTCTTCTTGTTCTGTGCTGATGTGCCTGCTTCTTTTCAGCTGCCCTGTGAAGACCAGATCATCCTCCTCAAAGGCTGCTGCATGGAGATCATGTCCCTTCGAGCTGCTGTGCGCTACGACCCAGAGAGCGAGACTCTAACCTTGAATGGGGAAATGGCAGTGACGCGGGGCCAGCTTAAAAATGGGGGTCTTGGGGTGGTGTCGGATGCCATCTTTGACCTGGGCATGTCTCTGTCCTCTTTCAATCTGGATGACACGGAGGTCGCTCTGCTTCAGGCTGTCCTGCTGATGTCTTCAGGTGAGCGGATGTGAAAAGGGTTTCTGGAGTCTGGTGCTAACTCAGATCCCTTAGTGGGTTGTCTGTCTCCCCCTAGTTCAGAGTCTTACCTCGCTCTCTTTCAGTGGACAGGGAACTGAATGTAGAATGTCAAGAGTCAGATGCTGTACAGCTCTGGCAGGCCTGAAACTCACTACAGAGCCCACACTGGCCTCTCACTCAGATGTTCTCTGAAACCGTTTATGGAAACAGTCGTAGCTGTAGTATTATTTCAGAAGTGTGTGTTCTGTTGGCCTTGGATTCTGACAGAGCCAGCTTCGGATGCCCACCTCACCCACAAAACATTCATATTAAGCCCCAACCAGCATGTTATCCAGCTGCCTGAGTTTGCATTATCTCTAAATAAAATTGAAATTAGAATATTTACCTCACTGTATTACTGTGAAGATTAGCTAAGGCACGGGGTAAATCTTGGCACGGTGCCCAGTTCAGATAGAGAAAGTGGGGACAGGGGCAATGGAAATCCTATAAAATGGTCCCCTTTGGGCAGACAATTCATCCACCCTGCTTGCTTCTGGCTTTGCCTGTGCTAAGTATGGCTATGAGTGACAGCACCATCCCGTGGACACACGGCTCATGCTTTAGTTTCCTCTCACTGTGCAGCACACCAATCCCAAGCCGAGTGCTTAAGACACCCAAGACAAGCAGAGCTGGAGCTGAGTCGTGGAACATGCCTGCAGAAGTCTCTCCTAGCAGCCTTTCCTCGAAGAGCACTCAGTCTTCTTACAAGCTGCTGGGTCCCAAGAGAGAGGCCTTCGAGCACATGAACGCAGAAGCCCCCCAGACTTAAGTCCCAGGGCGTCCCTTCAGCCACACTCTATTTGCCAGCTTGTCCTAGCTCCAGCCCCCACTCATCATTCTCCCTCACCTCACCCAGCCGGCCGGGGCCGGGAGGACATGATGTTGTCTTTAACCTACCACCATCTTTTGAACCAAGCTCCGCTGCCTGTCCGAGCTCCAGCTCCCGACAGTGGAGGTTTAATGGCAGAGCTGACACTCTCCTCTTTTTATTTATGTCATGATAAATAAATGCAAAGTACTCTGCGTTGTTTAAGGGAAGCCGGTCTTGAAATGTAGACAATGACTCAGGTCGGCCTCTGCATTTCAGAACATTTTGCCACTCTGTTCTGTCTATCTGCTGAACTTGCCCACAGCTCCCTCTGGTCTAGCTATACCTTGAAGTCATAGATGTGTCTAACCAGTGCCCAGTAGACTCCAAAAAAGATTTATTGGATATGTGGCTAAACACAGCCACAAAACCCAGGTCACAGACACCTTGAGAATTCTTTATTGGGTTGAAGCTTGCTAAGTATTTTTAAGCTGACCTAGAAATTCATTTCTTACATAAAGTATAGATATGGAAGATATTTTAAAAGCAATAATATTGAAACTTATTTTGTGGAGATTTTTAATATAGACAGAATGGCACACTGAACTCTCTCGGTGACTTTGGAAAGACTTCAGGGGACTCCGTTTTCCCAGTATCTGCTGTTCTCACCCTGTGTGACCCCTTCCCTGTGACTTGCTTTTAACCAATAGAATCCTGCAAACTCAATGTTACCTCATTTGATTCCATATGCAACATAAAATTATCACATCCAGAGTTACTCTACAAGAACATTCGTGGCTTCATGAGATTGGCACCCATCTGGAGAAAGTTCTCACAGTGGGAGATTCACACAGCTGGTGTCCAGGCTACAACCAGGGCCCTGGTCACTTGACCCTGCGTCCTTCAGGGAATAGAGTATTCAGAGAAACAAAATCGGGAGCTTCTCTATGGGCTGCCTTGTAATACAGCCTCTCTCTATGTGACCCATTAAAATAGAAATGGAACGCCTGTGGGAACCATATTCATGGAGGGAATGAAAGCAAGTCTTACTTCAGTCTTTATTGGTACAAAGACACTTTTAAATAATGTTGACTTACATAGGGAGAAAGTTGTTTTTTCTGTAATTTCTTCTGACTGTAAGCTCTAAATGAGTCAGAGAGAGAGAATGATGCTAGTCTGACTGTAACACCTCTCCAATTCTTTCTACCCTGTTTTTAACAAAAAAAAAAGTGCTCAGGAACACAAAATCTTCAGCAAGAACCCTTGCCTTTAATTAAAAAAAAACTTTTATTATTTAATAAGTTTTTCTCCATGCATTTGTTTTCATAGTTATCATCTGTTTATGAAAAATGGATTTTATTACTGTAGAATAAGATATTTCATCAGGAATAAGTCAATAATGGAAGGGAACTGGTAGGGATGGCAGCTGTGTCTGTTTTTACATCACTATGATAAAACCCTCTATAAAAGCAATTTGAGGGATGGAGGTTTTACCTTGGCTCGTGGTTCCAGAGGGCTGTGTCCGCAGTTGACTGGCTCCATTGCTTTCAGGGCTGTGGTGAGGAAGTGCACCATGGCAGGAAGCATGGGGTAAATGAAGTTAAGTTGCTCACCTTGTGGCTGCCAGGAAGTAACGCCACACCCCACCCCCACCAGATCTGTCCATCACAGCACTGCCCCCCACCCCCACCA